TGATTAATTGAAGACAAATAAAATTGAATTTGTTTGAAATGCGAACGAATTTCTTTCCTCGGATCTCATGGCTCGGCTTACCATTGGCGTGAGAAATTCCCTTTCGGTGGCAATGAGCTTCACCGGGTCTACCGTCTGCAGGAACTTGATCACGTTCTCGGGCACGATCGAATGTTCGCCAAGTTTCGCAGCAAGTTGGTACACGCGCAGCTTGGGCTCCAAGGTTGTGCAGGCCCACGGATTAACCGCTACTCCGCTCTGCGCGATCGCCTTGTGGAACAATCCTGCGGAACGCGGACGACGCGGAACAGAATTTTGCATTTCTGGTTGACGGAGCAGATAAAGCACGAGCCTCGATGGCGCGAATGTAACGGACGAGACCGAGTGCTCGGAGAATGCATAAAAGAAAATGGGTTTGCAACTTGCCCGGCTATTCAGCCAGTTGAAATCGGCTAGACTTTTAAACGCTTGTTCAGCCGTAACGCTGAGTTTGAGTTTCATCTCTTAGGAATTGTTAATCGTTAGATTGCAAAGCAAAAATATACAGTGATTCTTATTAACATTTCGACAGACTTCGAGATAGAATAAGTTTTTTAATACTGGATCAAATAACTTCATACTGTTTGGAATGTTAAAAGACTTAATTCACTGTATGATCACGCTTGGAGGTACTGGGATAACCGAATACGTAGATCGGAGTAGTGGCGAAAATATGGAAAGCACTAGAGAGAAAGAGAGAAATGTGGACAGTAATCGAAAACTGGTGTTTGCTCACTACGGATTCTCGCGACGGTAGGTAAATGTTCATTTTTTTTGTTTTTTTTTCTTTTTTTGTCATTACCACACCATTTCTTCAGCATATGTCGTGACGATTAGACGCGTTCTCGTACCGTTACATGTTCTCAATATATTTATTGTAACTTGCGTTTTATTATAATAAAGTCCAACAGAAATCGTACCTTCAGCTAAAGGAGATATTGTTAAGTAATGTATAGACGCGGAACCGGCGCTTTCTCCGAAAATTGTAACGTTGTCTGGATCCCCGCCGAAACTGGAGATGTTCTCCTTCACCCATCTCAAAGCCATCACTTGGTCCTTCAAACCCTGATTACCTGTCGCCACTTCGTGCTCCACGTTCAGGAAACCTATCAGTAATAAAAACTATTTAACGAGAACTTTACACTATTCGATGTAAAAAGACGCACATAGTCTTTCTTAAATATTTTATAACAATTCTGGTAATTGAATAACAGATGTGATCTGTTATAACTTTTTCGGATATCAACGTTTTCTGCAAATTTCTTCGTGCAGATTATATAGTCTGAAGAAAGAATGACTTTGATACAAAGTTACCTAGAAAAAACGTCGAAATTCTTCAGGAATGTCGATGTTAAAAACGCGTATAATTGTTCTTGACTATCTCATAACAATTTTGCAATTTTTTATAACAGATACAATCATAGATGATATCAT